CCAGCTGGGGAATTCTGGGAGTTGAAGTCCACACAGCTTAAAATGGCTAAGGTTGAGAAACACTGCCCTAGGCTGAATGTGTCAAAATCCATCATTTCATATTGATGGGTGTATCCTTTTTATTGTCCCTTCATAAATATATACATTTCCTGCATGTAGTAAGCTAACTCATAAAGAGTGCTACACAGAGCCTTGGTTTCTGTGCTTAGTGTCCTACGTGCAGGAAGGTACATTCAAGAACAAATGTGCTTATATTCTAAAATGGCCCTGAAATTCAATGACACAGTTTAGAGTTCAATTTATTCTGACTGAAAGGCAGACCAATGCATGGGATAAATGATAAAGAGAGTGAATACCAGAACACGACAGCCTGCTACAGACCCTGGGCTACTAATGAGCGCTCTTTTCCTGGTACATACTGAAATAATGTGGATTCAAAGATTTGGGAATTACATAATGAGGGATACGCACGAGCCGGCCGGTAAGAGGGTTGCCGCTGTCTTCCAATTCTGTCATGCTCTGGAGCGATGGCCAGAACTTCAGCAGAGCAGAAATAAATTAAACCAAGCTAGCCCTCCTGTGTGTTTAAAGAAATGAAGATGGAGGGGGGAGAGGTTTAAAAAAATTCAGCATCTGTGCCTCTTGCTGACGTTGATCTCTTGCTGAACAGATCAAATGCAGAACCGTCAATTATGGCAGTCCTTACTGAGATTTCTTTTTAAAAACGGCCTCTTGGGTCCTGATTTCCCCCGCCCCAGTAACCGACACACTGTTTTTTGGCTTTCCTTTAAATATATATATACATTGAAAAATACAAAGCACAATTGTATCTTCTGGCTGAAAGGAAAGTAATGTAATCTTGTACAGCAAAAAACGACTTATTTTTTTAGTCTTTAACCTGAGTAACTAAGATGCTTAAGCAGCACGGACTGAAATCATGCTTGGGACTAGTGACAGAAATCCCGTGATAGGGAAAATGATCATGGTAACAATAAATAATAATAGAGACAAATTTTCTTTTTCTTTTTTTCATTTATACCAGTATTTAGCAAACCAGTCACAGGAAAAAAACGAACCAACAAACCAACTGGGCCTTAATATGACTTTATGAAAAAAAACTCAAAAAACACGGTCACTGTCGGTGGGGAGAGAGAACAGCATCTGAGTAAAATTCGTATCCAACAATACAGAATTTAGACACAGGCTTTCAAAACAAAACACCAGCCTAACCTTTGATTAAAGGGGAATTGAGAGGCAGTTATTCATTCATTCATTTTTTAAAAAAGAACTTTTGTTTCCACAGTGCGGCACTTCTTTCCAATTGCAATTTCTTCTGCTGGTGTGTCCCCCCCCCTCCATTTTATGACTACAACTCTGCCAGGCTGCAGTAAATCATAGATAAAAAAGAAAATCACAATGATTCATCCTGATTTCCTCCCATTTTTGCTAAGGAGCACATGGCGGATGGCGGGCTGCGCACTTGGGAGGCAACAGAAGCTTCAGATCTTTGACACTGGGGTGCATGTGAGTTGCAGAGCACAGAACAGGTGGAAGGGGCGTTCCCCCCCCTTGGCTTCTGTTTTTACAGCTGTACTATTCTCCATGTTTTTAATTTAACTGTATTTAATTTCATAAATAAAACGAAATATGGTTTTTAACAGCCAGAAGCCCCTCAACATCTCTTGAGCCTGCAGTTGTTAAAGGGTTATACTATAAGGGAGGGGGGGGCAGGATTATGATTAAATTGTATCCTGACGGCTGACCTGAGGAATAGCTAGAAAAACAAGTGCCAAATTCAGTGTGTGTGTGTGTGTGTGTGTGTGTGTGTGTGCGCACGCGCCTGCAATACACAACCAATTGCAGGCTAGCTACAGGAGGACATCTGACACCAATGATGGCCATGGTTGTTACAGTATTTGGCTCCAAAAGGGAAACTGAGGTCTTGACTAATGCTGAAAGGACACAAAGAAATTAGGATATGGAGACGAAAGTTTATCGCTTACGCCAGCTTCTTCCAACCTATACTTCTCGCAAGGTTGGGGATACAGGATCCATCATCCACTGGCCTTCTGGGATCATAGATGTTGTACCTCAAAGCACTGGAGGGCATCACGCTGGGGAAAGGAACCATGCTCCTTTCCCCCTTTTTAAGAAGCATGAAAAAGGCCATTTTTAAAACAGATCCAGTTCCTCCTTTCGCACTCGGCTAACCTTTCAAAAATGCACAGAGGCAGACTATCTCCTTTCAGGATGAATTTCCAATCCTTCAGAACCTCCCGCAGAAGCAGGAGATATGGTCTAGTTGAGTCTCAACACAGAAGGTCACAATCTGAGGATTATCTCCAAAGTGGAGCCTCTGTACGGATTGAGAAAATGGCCCCTATGCAGTCTATTCTAGAAAGCTGTCGTGGCTATGAATTCTAAGGACTGCAGTCCCAATTCACTCGGGGTGCTACACTGGGGATGGCTGAAGCACGTTAAACAGAATCCCAACATACTTGGGGAATATTGTGTGATGGTTTTATTTTGCTGGACACAGCTATTTTCTGAAACAGCACCATTCTGGGTTAGTCTTTAGGGGGCTCTATACAAGCAGGGGCTTCTGTTGCAGCTTCCTCCTGGCCGTGACTGCTCAAGGCGGTGCTTCTAAAGTTTAGCAGCAGGTTAGTGCATGTGAAGTCTTGATGCAAAGGTACAAGCCCACCCCACACTCCTGGCCCAGCACTCACACCTCATTATTTGTGACTGCAAGAACTTGTAGTAGAGCTGGGGAGAGCTGCAAGGGCAATCCATGTGGCAACGGGCCTCAGAAGTTACAGGTGTTCTGTGTAGTTTGCACAAAGCCCAATTCCAAACCCCCCAAATTCATTACATGTCACTGAAATGCAATTTCCATTCATTTCCATCTGGCTTGCGTGGAACTCCCCATCAGCTGCTGGCATTTATATGCCCAAACTTGGTGCTCCTGGTGCCTTCCTTTAACCATAAAGTTCTGGGTTTGAATGACTGAATTAATGCAAAGCTGTAGAAATTACATTCCTTCACAGCCTGCCTAATGACCGAATCAGGTATCTAAGATTGGCGATTCAGATTCTTCTCAAAAGCCCCAACACTGACTACTACAGGGGCAAAAGGGAATGTTCCTTTTCCAGCCACAAACATAAAAGCTGATTCAAGTCAAACTACTGCAGATCAGCTGCTTAAATCCAGTCGATCCCTGATGACATGCATTCCCTTGTCGGGTCCTTAGCATCTAGTGTTACAGGACAAGAGAACCTGTAGTAAAGTTGAATTCCTTTAGAAGACCATTCCTAGCTATCTGGGTTTCTTTCTTTCTTCAAGTACTCTTAGTTAACCTCCTAAATTAACTCACAAGGTGGGCCTTCATTGCCCAAACTCCACCCATAACTAGAAAATATAAGGATACAGGGCACAGTTTTCACAATGAGAGGGAGGAAGGTCTGCATCCAGACTCTTTTGACTCCCACAATCAGTTAAGAAGCATAACCTTAACCATTACTACCAGTAGAGGGTAGAACAATCAGGAAGAGCTCAGCTCACGTACTGAACCCTTCCCAAGAAGGCCAGATCTGTGGAATGGATGATACGGCCTCCAAGACGCTCTTCAAACACAATGATCTGGAGAAGAAACAAGAAGAAAAGGAACGACCTTGCTCAGATGAAAGAATACATTTCTTTTTGTCAATTCTGCACACCCCTGAATAAATAAATGAAATCTATATCTCTAGAGTCAAGAGGAAGTTTGCTTATGAATAATGAAAGACAAGTATTTCAGTGTTAGTTTCTTGTCTTTCCCTTAAGTAAATTTCATACTACTTCTCCAACAGCGTTGATTTGTTCTTAAAGGTCTATACAGAAATGCACATGCTAGTTGTTCACATGAGCACTATTTACATGCCCTAATGTCTCGTGTGTGTGTGTGTGTTAATATGTGTATGTATATTTCTGTGTGTGTGTGTGCGTTTAAAGGCTTAGCTTTTCAACCTGAAGCTCTCTTAGAATGGAATCTGAAAGTCAAAAAGTGCTAAAGGTTTACTTGGAAAGTGCACCATTTTATGCCAAAGTAGTTTATGACCCATCTGATGGGCTCTGGGTATATTCAGAGACATGAAAAGAAAGAGAACATGATTCAAGCCAAGCCACTCACTTCATTGTACCCTTGTTGGAGCCATGTTCCTGGGAGGTAGAGCGTTTCCTGAGGACCAATTTTCCAGTAGCGACCAAGGTTCTGACCATTGACAAATACAACTCCCTTTTCCCAGCCCTAGAACACAGACAAGGGGTCACACTACAGTGGTACAAGACGAAGGCATTCTGCAATGTACCTAGAGTTCTTACAGGTGACAAATGTTGCCTTAATAATGAAATGTTCTGAGAATCACACCCAATATGCCAAGTTTAAGAAAATACTGCAGTGGTGCTAGAAATCCTACACATATTTTTCTATTCCTGCTGCAAAAACTAAAAAAAAAAGAAAGAAAGAAAGAAAGAAAGAAAGAAAGAAAGAAAGAAAGAAAGAAAGAAAGAAAGAAGACAAATGCACATTCATTGTTACAAATAAGTATTCTTAGCGAAGCATACCTTTTAGACCACCATCAACACTTTGTATCGAACAAAACAGTAGATCAATCTCAACTATGCGTAAAGAATACTAACTTAAAATACAGAATTTGTTGTCCAATTGTTTCCTTTCCCCCATTCCCTGCCTCCACAAAATGCTGATAGGCCACACAAAATGATGCACAATTAGGGCAATTTCATCTACAATGCAGGCTTAAATCCAGACCGAATTGCGTTGACAGTCCTCCAGAATGACGGACACAAGACATATTCAAGCCAGCTACAGATACTCATGTCAATTTCCCAACCCGTGATGTTGTTGGAGGAGGAATGAAAGTTCCTGCTAACTTAAAGGAATCATTTTTGGATGATTGTAGGGCCCCAGGATCCTTGCCAACGAAGGGGTTTTGTGTTCCCCTTCCTGTCCTAGCCCCTACCTCCATATAGAAGAAAATAGGTTGCCAGTTTGGACAAGTGAAACACAACAAAAACTTCTCCTCCCTCATGACCTTCACAGTGATTCAGAAACAATCCATAAAACATTTAGAAGGCTAAGAATGTTGTTAAAGGTGGAAAAAAGATACTAGAGGCCAGCAGAAGCCACTAGAAGAGGATCCCATAAAAATAACTCCCTAGAAGCAAACTATGTTCATGAAACACTGCCTCTTTGTTCTCTCAAATGCACCATTTTCTCTATCCTGCTGCCCCCACTATCACATAGCTCTGCCTTAATTCTCTCACTCAACACATGAGGTGCTGCTATATAAGTGCTGCTATAGAATACTCTCCCCCCAGAGGTGAGGTGGGACCCTACTCTCCTGACCTTCCAGAAAGGAGTGAAGACCTGGCTCTGCCAACTCGCGTGAGGCGAGAAGAAGGGCAACCAACCCTGGGGGTGGCTGGCACCTCGAAGATACTCCCATAACCTTTATTTACCACCAGTATCTTGGATGACATTATTTATGTATTAACTGAGTTCTTATGGTAATTTTAATTGTATTTTAATTAATATTTATTCTTGTTTTATTGTAAACCGCCCAGAGTCGCTCTTGAGTGAGGTGGGTGGCGACCAGATTTGAAGTATAAATAAATAAATATCCAGTCAGTTATTCTGCTATTGTCAGGTTCAGCCCAAAGAACTGCACGAGACAATGCAAATACAGTTCTGTTGCGTTTATTAGCTCTAACCTCAAGACAGAAATCTCACCAGACTGAACCCAAGTTCCCAAGCCAGCCAGCCACAACACTGTGAATTCCTTAGGGAGGTGCCAGACTCATCTTCTTGAATTTCCCACGCTCCTGTTGGGGGCTAAGAACACGCTTATCTCCCTGAGCATGGCCTTCATAAGTTTATTCCATCACAGCTACGTCCAATCATCTGCACTTTCTAATTTGCATAACTCTACAGAGTAGGGTTGCAAGTTAGCCTCTGCTGCCTCCAGTATTGCAATACGCCGAATTGTGGCAGGTCTCTGTTCTAAAGCAACGTTTAGGGAAATTGTGAGAGACGCGTCTCCCGCATCCACCCATCTCTGCTTATGGCCCTGAAAAATAACCAACAATTTACCTCGAGCTTCAGGAAGGTATCCTCAGGCAGATATTGCACTTGCAGGCTTCCCCGGAAGAAGGCAGGACCCACTGCGTTGTCAGGGATGGCGCTCCAAGGAGAGGCTCCACGCAGACTGGGGGAGAAAGGAAGGGCCACTTCCTCAAAGGGGTCTCCAGGAGAGAAATCCATCATCATGCCCCATCAACGTTGATGAAGGTAGGTCTTGCTTATTGGGTAATGCATACATTTCCTCCCCCCTCCAGCAGTTTTCTCTAGAGTATACTTTCACAGACATCCTGCACCTAATTCATCAGGTCTTGGGTCAAACTCTACTTCAGAAATTGAGATTTTTCCACCTGGATATTTGAAAACCTGACGAGATACGCTAAAGAACCCACTGAAAATCCAATCTCTGAAAGTTAGAAGAACTTCTAAGAACAGTTCAACAATGTAACCAGCGACCCGTAGAGATGGTGGACTCCCCTTTATAGTTATCTTCAAGGAGAGTTGAGATGGCCATCTGGCAGGTGTGCTTTGGATTCCTGTGCTAAGCAGGGGGCTGAATTTAACTACCTAACGGCCCCTTGTAACTTTTGCAATTGTATTATTTTATGATTCTGTGGACCTTATATGCATCTGTGCTGTGAATTGGCGTTCAAATAATCATCCCTTCTGATAACAAATTTCAGACTGTTTGGAAACAAGAGAGGAGTGCTTGGAAACAAAGAACGCAAAATTGGGCTATATTTTCCAGAGGATTAGAACTAGATTCGAACAGACCCTCTTTGAACTGTATAGGGATGTTTTGAGAGGGAGGAAAGAAGAGAATAGTCGTTTGTCAAGCTTGCGTTCATTTGGATTTCTGTAGACAACAGGACTTGGACCTGATGGTTTCAAGGGTCCCTCCCAGCTATTATCGCTTTGAAGTGCTTACCTCTGTGATTGCTATTATCAAGTCAGAGGCCCCTAGTACTAGTACTCCCCTTCCCCTCCTTCGCCAGCCTCCATCCCTTGAAGCTCCCCTCCCCCCCAGGGGTGGCTGAAATCCTGAACAGGAAGACAAAAATTACTGCAGCCTGTAATCAGGAAGTAATAATGAGATGGTATTTCAAGGGCATTATTGTTCCTCCAGCTAACGTTTTCACAACATAGCATTTCATCCAAGCACAAGCTACATCCAAAGAATGGATTATAGAATTATGTTAGGTATTCCAGAAAGGAGGAAACATTGCTTGATATGAAAAATTGAGACACACACACACACACACACACACACACACACACACACAAATAAAGCCAATATTAATCTTATTGTCTAGGAGAGATAATTTCCCAGTGCCTTTTTTCCTTTTCCTTCTTCTGTCGTACCTGACCCCTTCTGGCAAAGCCTCCAAGTTACTACTGGGGTAGAAATGACATATGGTAACAAGGGGGTCTGTGGAAGACCTACAGCATCACCTTTAAAGAAACGGGATTCTAAAAAAGAGACGCTTCTGCCCATTTTCCCTCCTTCCAAAAACCAAACGCCATAACTATCATGATTTCCAACTGTAAGAAACAATGTCAGGCAGCTGTGTTTCTTCTAAGTGCAAGGAAGAACGTTACTTCAGATTTCATTTAAACCATTTCATTTCTCCAGGGCTGTGTCTATTTCCCTAATAAAGGGGCTGCACCTGTTTGGAGGCAACATATATATAACCAACCCCAAAGCCCTAATCCAATAAACAGTTTCTTCTTGTTATGCTAAGGTAGAACTGGGGAACTATGAAATGCTAATGTAAGTAAGATCACAGTTCAGCAGAACCCTAGCGGAGAACCTTGTTCACTCATAACACAAAGATCTAAAATTCCAAATGGATCACGTAGCCTTGTTTTGGAGATCAGGATCACAACACAAGGCAGCTTTGGACATCAAATGGGATCTTTCTTCCTAAGCTTGGAATACGCTGAGCAAAGCTGCTGTGCTTCTTCAGTAAAAGCTGTGCTCCCAAGAGTATTTCTGGGCACCTCTGGTGGACCTTTTTTCCCCCCAACTATGATGCCAGAAAAAAAAAAAAAAAAGACAACCAGGAAGGTATATATTACTTGTTTTTTAGTAGCCAGAGTAGTTTTCCCCATTTAGATATTTCCCTAGCTAGTGTTACACTAGTGAAAAAATGATTGTTGGTGAAGCACATATAGAATCGGTGTAAATTGATAACCCACTACCTAATCTACACTTCCAGGTATTATAGTATTATTATTATTATTATGACTGATAAGCAGGACCTCTTTATTCCAACGCTATACACCAATGAATTCCAAATGCTGAGGAGCAAAAATTCTGGTCCTGCTTGCAAGCTTCCCTGGGGTGATGCAGTAACCACCATAAGATGGACCTCTGGCCTGATCCAAAAGCATTTTTCTTCTGCCACGCTAGCTATTTGATATCACCCTGTGCCTCAGGAGAACAAGAGTGCAAGAGAGAGCTCCTAATTGCCTATTCTGCTTACAAACTTTCCATGTGGGGTACAAGATGCTGGACTCAACAGACTATTGGTCTGATCTACCATAGCTAAGAAGGAATTTCTACTCCAGAACCTGCCCAATGAATAAGCCACCATGTCAAACGCGGCCATCATTCTTGCACTGCTTGAAGCTTCACCTTGCACAGGATGGAGCTGCATGTCACCCCCACCCACAAGCCCCCTTAGCCTGGTTTTGGTCAGTTACAAGAGAACCAGTTCAAAGTGCTGATCTTCACCTTGAAAGCTTTATTAGTCTTGGAATTTATATTTGGGAAATGGCAATCTCTCCCTCTAGGATCCCACATGACAAGAGGCGCTGGCACTCTTGCTGTCCTGGTTTTATCTATCAAAGCATTATCAGTGTTGGTGGTGCCAGTTTGCATGAAAATGGGAAATTATGTTGAGAAAGGGGGATTGCTAAGGAGGGCTGCTGCAGGGCTCTGCATGTTTGAGAACTATCAGCCCAATTCTTTGCCAGATGCCAGACTGCTGGCAGGTGGAGCTGCTAACTAGGGTTTGGACCTCAGCCAAATGCATTTTCAGTCAACAAGGGGAAGAAGAAAACAAATAACTACGACAAAAAAGCAGAGGGGGCAGGGGCGGGGGTGCCATTGTCTAGAGTCACTAAGCAAACCTTTCCATGAAGCTGGGTTTCATTTCAAGGCTGTAAATCTTGAAGTTTCTCAAGGAGGTTTTGTTGAAAAAGATGTCGCCAATTAAGCCTGCAAGAGAAACAAGAGGAAATGCTGAGCGGGGCAGTGACAAGGCTGATGAATCGCCTTTCAAAGGGGAGGAACGCTGGGCTGCCAAGAACAGCAGCCATCCTCAAAAGTGGAATTAGGGCCCGCACAATCCTTATTCCCAAAGGCTGAGAAATGGCCCGCCCTGTATTTGGGGACTCTTTTGCTCCCACTGCTGCAACAGCTCCATAGCAAAGGGAATTTCTGTTCTCTTTCCTTTTCCCCAAAGGGAGAAAAAAAAATGCAGGTAATATGCAAGGTTAGTTCTGCTCCTGAAATGCAGTGACTTTTAGAAGCATCAGATCAACATACATGTTGTGGCACCTGCCCTTTGGAATAAGATCCCCCTCCCCTGAAATCCGTGTGGCTCCCACCCTGTTGGTGTCCTGTAAAGCCTTGAAGACCTGCTTCTACTCCCAGGCCTTGGGGTGAGGCGGAGGGGGCTCTTTGCTGGGTGTGTCTGCTATTTTTGTTGTTGTCTGTACATTGTGCCCGGATCCCATCTTGGTTTGGGTTTATATTGGTTTTTATGTTATTTGTCAGCCCAGAATCAGTTGGAGTTGGGTGGCATCTAAATCAGTCAAATCAACAAACAAATCAACAAATAAATAAATGCAAATAAAATTACAAGTAAATAAAATAGAACCAAAACATTTCTTGAACCTAAAGGCTCAAGGTTGCCCAGTGGAGAATTTTAATTTTCAAGATGGAGCCAAGTTAGCCAGTGCTTCCACATATCTGCTACTCAGTCCAGCTCAATCCACAGGATCTAAACAGAACATGAAGAAGACTGACAGCCAAGGGGTTTCATGTCTTAAGCGGAACGAGACAAGGGATAGTGTAGTCATGCATTCAGAGCAAAGATGCACCAAATCAGGCATTGTGATCCAAGCTGTACCCAAATCCCCAACTGGAGAAAGAGGTTCTGGTCTCCTGGCTCCTACTCATCACTTTCCATTGCAAACATTACATCTGACTGAACAGTAAGTGAGGAGATCCAGAGGAGTGAAATAGCAAATCAAGTTATGCCTGCTACTTACTTTACAGGGTTTTGAAACGAGCAACTGCCAACTATCTACAACGCAGAATAAGGGCTTAAGACATTGTTTCCAAGAGCCTTTTCTGTGGAGGAATCCTGGCTGTGGCAGACCCTCTGGTCTATTCTTTGTTAACCCTCGAAGGACAGAGTCTATCCTCGCCCTTTCAGCCGTCCATGGGCAATTTGGTGCTGATTCTAATCTGCTTGCTCTAGAATCTGGTCCAGTGTGGTGACTGGAAAGGGCCACTGAGTCCAATTTCTCCTGCTGAGTGCAGGAATTCAAATTTTAGGGTTCCTGGCAGACTGACGTCCAGCCTCTGCTTGAACAATTCAAGAAGGGGAGGCCCCAGCTCCATAAGTCACTGGTTCTGCTGCTGAGTAGCTCTTATTATTAGAATTTTTTTCATGACATTCAACTAGAATCTGTCTTCCTGGAACTTAAATCCATTCTTCTGTAACCTGTTTGCTTGGGTTTTTCTGTGTAACACCCTTTCTGGTGTCTACTGGAAGCATTCATACAACATTCTGGGCATAGAGTTTTAATGTTGTTGTTTTAAAGCAAGGAGCATACAGCACAGGCAAAACCCCATGTTGTGAAACACTGAGCTGAGGATTAAAGTAATGAGAGCAGGAAAAAGCACAACTCACCTTTCCGCTGGTTATTCAGATTAAGCCCATAGTTCACTCGCCCACAGTTCTCTACTAAGATCTGGAGCTGTCTATATCCCTACAAGGAATGGGAAAGAGAAGAACTAAATCCAAGAAGAAGGAAGCACAGATGTTTGCAGAAATCTGGGTACACAGAGAAGCCCTGGGGTTTACCGTCTCTAGGAACAGTGCCTACTCTGCAGCTTAGAGAGAAGACAGAGGTACTACTTATCCAACCAAACTGTCTTTATCCTAACACATGTAAAAAAAAAAAATGCTACATCTGTCTTCACCTCAGCTCTGCATGAGCACTCCCTCTTCCAGGACTAACATTCTTTAAGGGCAGAATAGAAGCTTTCTGTACATGGCATGGAAGGCCTGGTAGCCATGATGTCTCTCCACATCCCAACGGCTCCAGAGCAGTTTTGTGGTGGAAAAGGGAATCAAAGACCCAACTGGATATCAAATAAATGGATCAATGGATGAAACAATCAAACCCAGGAAATGGGCCAGATTGATGGCTGAGCTGGTGCACAAATTAACTATTTCATCCTTTGACTATTTTTCATATTGCACGTCTCTTTATGCTCAGGGACTAGGATGGGTTGCTATCGTATTTTGGTTTTAATCACTCAAATTCAGGGTGTTTTAATCAGTAAACCGAGCAGCGAACTTTTAGCTGATTAGTTTTGGGGACAGGAGTAATTAGAGATGGGGATAAAAATAAAAGTTTTTTTTTGCCTGTAATTCCAACTGCTTTTTCTGACTCCTCACCTGTCTGTTAGGAATGAACAGCTCCTGTATGTTGTAATCAAGGTGACCAATATACCGAGTATTAACAAACACCTGCATGAAAAAAACAAACAAGGCCTCTTTTAACTTTCACGAAAGACAGGAGATTAGAGGAGGATTTAGAGACTGTAACAAGAAGGGAGCAGAAGTACCTGGTGAAAATCCCAACTGTGGGATTCTGTTCCAAGCACTGGTTGTAGTCGCATTATTATAATCATTTGAAAAGATTATAGAAACAAACAGAATGAGGGAAAATTATTTTTTAAAAAACTAGATTATTCAACCTCAGTGGTTACAGATAGCAGGTAATGGGCATCCAATTGTTTGATAAAAAGACAAATATTTTCTACTTGTAACAGATTCTGTAAATAGTTACACCAAACCTTTTTCTATATTTTTAAAGCTTCAGTAGATGGCTAGCATTCAAACTAAGCTCCAGGGATCCCCAAGGTCCCTCAACAGCTAAAGGGTGGCTTTTAGAAAAGGGTTTAGACAAGGCAGTCCATACTAAATATCAAACTTCTGAACTCAACTGGAGATCCTGTGTGCAATGTTTATTATGGCCAAATGACCAGAACAACTGAGACTCATGGGAACAACTAGAGAATCTGAAACTGGAGAAGGCTTGTTTAGGCACATTCATGGAGGACAGATCACAAAACTTTGGGGAAATCTCTGTTTCTGAGGCCAGTATATCTTTGAAGGTCAAAATCTTGGGCACCAATCAGGAAGGCAAGGCCACCTTCTTGGGGAATTGTATTGAGGAGGCTGTTTCCAGAGGCATCAGGCTGCCCTCTCTTAGACCTATTTCATCAGCATGGTTTCACCTGGGTCCAGAGTGGAACAGCTTGGGATCCATGAAGGAGAGGGACACAAAGATAAAACATAGTGGGTGTCAAGGCTTCATGGCAGGTAGTGCAGATAAACTATTCCCCAATCTGTGTCTCCACACAGACCCCCAAACCTTAGACAAATAGATTGACTGAAGAGGATTAGGAAGCCATACATACAAAGAAATATTATGTTTGTTTATGTTAGTCCTAGGCTTAAATCCTGGATCTCGTCTCACTTTTTCATATCTGTGAAACTGCTCATGTCTTGAATTTGAAGGTTTCTGCCATCTATCTCTTGTTTATCAGCTTATAACTGTTGATTCCCAGATTGATCAAATTCAGGGGACTGTTAGGTAAACAACTAACTGCAAGTTCTTTTGTTATCAATGAAAAGACCCACCAGTTCACAAGGCAGTTAGAAAGAAAATAAAAAGACATTTCCATACTTGGGAGGTATTGGTTTGAGATGGGAAATCGTTCAGTTGCTGGAATTCTTGTAACCCCATCACTTTCTTCTCAATAAATCTTCCTAAAGAGACTCTATGAGAATTATGCTTGGAAAAGAATCACTTTCAATTTTAGGAAGCTGCCAAGAAGTGGACAGAACCACCGCAATCCAAATCTAATAGTCAATTTGGATTGCAGGGGGATATAAATGTAAATGTTCTCTGGTGTGAGAAGGAGAGATTCCTACCTCACCAGATTCAACCCTTACATTGGGTCACCAAATTCAACATATGTTTACTCCAAGCAAGTCACCTTGATCCAAGGGTAACCTATAAATTAACTAAGATCTAACCAGCTTTTCCCTCCCTGATCCTTCAGAAGAAAGTAGCAATCTAAGTCTTGCACACCCAACTTCACCTGTGCTCGGTCTCGGATGTAATCACGGGAATACAGAGTTCCTCCGCCAAAGATGACAGTCTCATAGAGGGTGTAGCCAAAGGCCTGTCCGTTGCCGTTATTCACTGGCAGGTTCTCCATGTTAATGGGGTATTCTGACTTCACAGGCTGCAGAAGAGAAACCAGAACAGGATCCTAACAGCAACTGCTAAGAAATACGTTTTTGTCTTTCCTTAATGGGTTCGTGAAACAGACGCATCTCAATAATAAGGTAACAACATGATGATAAGGAAAGAAATGAAAAGAGTAAAAATATAAAACAGGTAATGTGAAGTAGAGTTAGCTTAACACCTTCACAACATCTCCTCTTCTGGTGGAAAGATTCAAATCTGTATGGATCACTTTGTTCATATCAACAGAGATCAAATCACATCAAAGCCTTGGCTAACGTCTGGCTTCATGCTTACACATAGACCTGCCTTAATCCCTTGACACCTGAAGATCTGTGATCGATTCGCACATGCAAACACTGCAGGCACCAAGCAAAGCATTAGGAAGGCTGTGATGTCAAATGCTTGTTTGCAGGAGCTAAAACAAGCAACCAGATTCGTTCTGAAACACTGGACTGAGAGGCAAACAGTTTGCATTGATAAGCTGAATATTGCAAAACTTAGAAAACTAGGCTAGTTGTTTTCCCAAATGTCACACAAAATCATCTCTCAGGGATGTAGAATTTTCCTTCTGCTTGCTCCAAAAAAGGGATTAAATAACAGACCTGAATGAGAGGATTGAGGACTTGTTCAGACATGCATGTTTAACCTTGCAAATGACTTATCAAGCCATTTAAGACACGCAGCCTGCACATTATATCTGCATATAAATATAGTGAATCCGTTTTAAGTATGCATGATCAACCAATCTCACACCAGCATCTTCAAAGCCCAGTGATATCCATACACTTAGATTTATTCTGAGATCTTTAATGATGACCCGGGCTGTGATTTGTGGTTTGTTCACATTCTCATCATTACAATCTGAGAACATTCATCCCTGGAGGATGACTTACCTCGATCACTGACGATAACAATTCCCACAGGGAGATATACTGCTGCATCAGGATTGCCCCATATGATGCTTTATGTAAAACTACCGGAGGTGCAGGGAGAGGAGTCTCTTTGGAAAAGTAAAGAAAGAACACAGTTGAGTTCAAGCACTGTATTGGTGGAGAAATGTCTCAATTTCCCAAAATAGTTATTGGCTTGATAAGAGTCTATTTGGATCATCTAAATTAACTATGAGAAGTAACACATTCTTCAAACATTTGGAGGCTTTGATGCTGCCTGGAACACTTTTATTTCCCTAAAAAGGCGTCGGGGCATCCACTTCCATTATTCTAATTGTCTTAATTGGCTTTGCTGTAGTCCACAGGTGAGTATAAAAAACAGGTCTGGTTCCAGGTGTGGGGCCATTTGAGAGAGATGGGTCCCTAATCTCCAGCTCTTCCTCCTTTCCTGCTCTTTTGGCCCCACATGTGTAACAGCTGAGGAATCTCCTGAGGGAGCATGCAGGAAAAAGTGGTCAGAGACTCCCCGGCCACCCTGGGCTCAATGCCTGGCCTGCCCCAAGACACTGGATCTGCTGTCTGCTCCAGAGAATCTGTCAAGTGCTTTCCTGTGGAAACTTTCCCAGACAGAAAGCAGCCATTTCTGGAATGGCTCCCCATGTCTCAGAGTGAGGTAGTCATAGCAGGTGCAGCCCCATGGTCCTGAGCCAAACAACTCAAGAAAGAGCAGGGAGGCCAAGACTGGCTCAAGATACTTTGCTGCTTAAGCAAAGAACATGATGCCATCTCCCCAGCCTAGGCCCACGTACAACCAAACAACTGGCAACCGAATCTTTTACCCCTCTGCTGGTGGAACAAGACATGCTTAACATGCACAGCCCCAAATGGGAGGCTCTTAAACTAAATGAGCTGTTTCAGTTCAGTGCCGGAGAACCTGTCTTTGGTCTCTGCATTGAATGCCCAGCCAGAGGGAAGGACCTAGTTGATCTCCAAAAGTTAAGCCGGGTCAGACCCAGTTAACACTTAATGGAAGAAACGTCAGGGCTGTTGGCTGGACTGGTAAGTTGGAAGAAACACCACCACCACCGTGGAGGAAGGCTATGGCAAAACACTTCTACTGTACTACCGAGAAAATTCAGGAATTTGTTCATAAAGTCATCCAGAGTAGAGACTGACTCAAAGGAGACTTTACTTTGGCCTGCTCTGGAATAGCCTCTTCACAGGATCAAAGAAAACGCTTCTCTACTGACTGAGACTGGTGAAGGAGATGAAAGGGGGATATTTACTGCCCAGGGAGAGTCCTAGAAAGAAAGAA